AAAAAAAATCCACAAAAGTAACCTCACCAATTTCAGTAATGCTCAAATTCATAACTTTATTTATCGAACAATAAAAGGTAGCTAAAAAAATTAAATGAGAGAAGGAAGAGACTTCTCTTTCCTGCCATCATTTAGAATTTAGCATTGTATAACTAATTTTTTCTGCAAAATCATCCTAATCCTCCAATTAGTTACGTAACGAAAGTATTGAATGTTTTTCATATCTTCATGACATTTTATGCATTTTTTTCATTTAATTATTTCTTTATAAATAAGATATTGTAGGGTGATATAGCATCACTCACTAGCATTATCGTTGTTCACGTAACGCACCACTTTTATATAGTAACATAAATACATATATATGGGTGTGTGTATGAGGCAAGAAAAGGGCTACACAAACATTAAGATAACCTCGTAAGCATGCACGAAGCTTTCCCTAGACTGAAGCAAATTATTCAGCGTTCCCTTCAACTCTTTCTGCTTGTTCTCAAGCATCACATTATCGTTCTCTAGATAATTCACCTGCATTGGGAACACTTATCACTTAACGTTCTTTTTAGAAAATTCACCAACATTAAATCCTCCAAACCTTTCTCTCCAGCTTCTGACGCTCCTCTCTGACGGAAGCCAACTCGCCCTGCAATTCCTGTATCTTTCTGCCACACTCTTCCTCATTATTGTTCAGCTTCTGCTCCTCCGTACGTGGTAAACCGAATCAGCATAGTAAAATCACGCGAAGTGCTACGTGATGAAGAGACATAACCTAATTGAAGGGAATTGAAACCTGGAGAAGAAGGTGATGCTGCTCGGTGGCGGAGCGTTCTCTGTCCTGAAAGTGCGAAGGTTAGCTGAAGAGGAAACGGCCATGGCGAATTGGCGATTGGCTTCGGAGACGGAGATCGTTACCCTGAGATCTCGAACTTCGGCGACGAGGGCTTGAAGTTGGAGCTTCAACTTCGAAAGCTTCAGCAATTCCATCGCTCCTTTTCTTCCTTCATTTTAAAATCTCCATCATTTTATACCCAGGGTCTCCACGTGAAACGACGACGTCTCCATGCATGTAAATGATACAAACTAATAAAAATATTAACATTTATAATTTGTAACAATTTTTTAAGATTTTTTTAAGGATAATGATAATTTGACCTTCGAACATTATCTATTTGTTATTTAATGATTGGTTCAAAATTATTCCACAGTTAATAATAATAATCATAAACATTAATATAGAACAATCACAAAATCACAAAATGATATATAAGTACTGTTAAAATATTGTCAAATATTATTATCTTTTTTGTAATCATATTTTATTTATGAAAATTAGTGTACTTAATTTTCCATATCTCCTTATAATTAAGGAATGTTCTATATATTTCTCTTCGTCAAATAAAAATATTTGAATTCTGTAGTATAATGTACTGTACTATTATAAGAAAATACTTAATCACTCTTCGGCAAAGAAAATACTAAAAAGTACTACTTTCTTTTTTTATTCAGTCAACACAACCAAACCTCTTCCATTACTACTTTCTTTTCTTATTCAGTCAACACAACCAATAATAATACGATAACACACTTTTATATTTAATATAAAAATAAAATTGTCATAAAAATACACAATTTTATATTTTTTAAGAAAAAAAAATAAAAAAATAAGAATATCAAATAAATATAAAAAATTTAAGTATTTCAAAGAATTCAAATTTCATTCCCACTCATCACAAGTTTTTGTGTGGCAACTACTCACTCCGTTTTCTTTTCCTAGTAAACTATCCTAAAGTTACATATAAACACTCACAAAAATTGATATAGATATTTATCACTAAAAATATATAAATATGTTACTAATAATACCTTGTGCAATATTAAAATTGTCATTGAAACTTATGTCACTATTATACTTGTGACAATAATTTTAAATGTTACTAAAACTAAATTTTATTGTGACAAAAATAGTTATAATTAATAATTTTGTGTAATAATGATAATAATAAAATATCACATTAGTAATGTTGTGTAACAGTGATAATAATGAAATATCACAAAAGATAATAGTGATAAATTTATAATCATTAGTGTATTTTTTATAATAGTGATAATGAAGAGTTATTTCAAATATAGAACGATAATTATTATTATTATATCGTCAAATTTTATGTGATAATTAATTCATATTTATTATTACTATTATTATTAAAAAAATTGATAATATATAATCACATTTAATAGTTGCTACAAATAGCTATCATGTTGTAATAAATAGATAAATCACGTTTAAAGGTTTGAAAATAAAAATCAATTAAAATCAATAAAAATGAAATATAAATATAAAATATCCATTACATTCAAAATGACAAAAACTAAAATTTGTAATTATATTCCAAAAAATGTACATGTCATACCTAATTCTGCTATACAATTACAATAAATAAGTTTTTAAAAAATAAAAGATGACAATATCTACAAGGATTTTGATCTTGCAAGGAAAAATAAATAAATCATTACTATTTAATAAAAAATAATTAATAATATATTATAAATTTAAAAACGTAACGATGGATAACAAATTATCTTTTTTATATTTTCCTTTTTCATCGTTCTCTTCTTATACTTTGCAATTAGGGATGATAACGGGTCAGTCGGGTACGGATAGTGTGATATCTGAACCCGACCCGCATGTAAAAAGTTGTATCCATACTCATCCCGTTATTCGTCGGATACTCGCATAAAAAAAATTCGCGGAATTTTTCCAACCCGCGGATACTCGTTGGATATCCATTTCAACCTGCAAAGTTTTTTAAAAAAATAATATTTTATGATTTTTTAAAAAATGTTTAAATTAAATTGAAAAAAAAAACATATTATTTTCCCAAACATAATTAACATCAATGTTTAAATTAATTATTTTATGAAAACAGGCCAAAAGTTCAAATTATTTTTTTTATTATTAATTTTTTTTTAAAATGGACAAGTCCAAACTTTTTCTTTTAGGTTTTCTCTCATAATCTTCAAGATGGGTCAAGCCCAAACCCTTCTTTTAGGGTTTCTCCTTTTCCTCCCCATTTGATGCGATACAGGGGAAGTCCCTGGCAGCCAACTACTTCTTCCCCAGAGCTTGAACAATAACCCTTACACCACAGGCTGCCAAATCTTTTCCCCCCTCACACCGCAGGTCACCAAATCTTTTTTCCTCTGAAAAACGAAACAGAAACGAAAAGGGAAAGGAGAAGGAAACTTCATGAATCCGTGAGGGCGACTGCCGGGATCCAAGAACAAGCCGAAGCCACCGGTGATGATCACCAGGGAGAGCGCCAACACACTCCACGCGCACATCCTTGACGAGGTAGGCAGCAGCTGTGACGTGTTCGACAGCGTCGCCAGTTACGCGTGGCGGCGACAACGTGAGATATGTATTTTGAGCGGCAACGGCACCGTGACGAATGTGACCCTACGGCTTATAAACGGTTACTCTTAGAAGAAGAAGAAGAACAGGTTTAGATATCTGGTGGTGCTGGTGTGGGAAGTAATGGGACTCCCTTTCTTGAGTTTGCGTTCAATTCCCGGTGGATGGTTTTGTGTGTGACCCTTCAAAATTGAAATTTACGGTTTTAGGCAAACATAGAATACAACAGCTTAGAAAATAATTAAAGGACGAAGGATAAAATTGTATTTTCATTTTTCCAGACAAGTAGTGGGTACCCGCGGGTGCGGATAGTGTGATATCGGAACCCGACCCATTACCGTGGGTACCTTTTACCTGCGGATACTAAATACCCGTAGTGGATACCCTCGAGTATGAGTTTTTATGTCATCCCTACTTGCAAGTGATTTGGTTTTGTTCATAGTACAAATACAACATATTTAATTAATAGTTCACGTGCTTTTGAAATTTCTTTTCCGTAAACTTCACCCACAGTTTTTTAAATTGTCTTGCACAATGTTAAGATGAAACAATTAACATTTTAATTATTTTATAATAATAAAATAAAATTGTATAAATATGATTAGATCAAATATAAAATAAATATTTAAACTCTTAGTTGGTTCTATTTTTTTTTAAATCTTAATTAGGTTATCTTGAGTTGTCTCAATTGGATTCTTTTTTAAATGTGTAACAAATAGACCTAAATCGTTAATATTGTCTAAATCATTAATGATAATGTACAATAGACATGGTGATATTAATTTTTTTATGATGTGGAATTTAATTTTCGTTGTTAGTAACGCATTGTTTGCAGATGTAGGAATTTGAATAGATTGTGAACGTTGATCGAAAGAGTAAGGAAGGGGATTTTAAGCAGAAATTGAGCATTCGTGGTGATCGAAGGTTGTCAGCAGTTGAAGAGAGTTTGATTTCGTAGGTGGTCATCGGTTATTTTCTTAATTTCTTATTTTGTTGTGGTGGTTGGATGTTGTATTTTCGTTTTGGGATGAGAATGCTCTGTTGTTGGGATAACAATTGTTATTTGTAATGCATTATTTGTTGTGGTCCCCTATTTCATTTTGAAAGTTGTAGTTATCATCCCTTATTTGGGTGTTTCGGTGGTAGGGATTGTAATTTGTTCCCCAATTGCATGTTTCAATGGTAGGAATTGTAATTTGTTTATTATTTTTTGGGCATAATTTACAGGTGTAGAAATATATAGTATAAAATATCCTATGAATGTTTTGAAGTGGTGGTCCATCATAATGGACACTTTATAAGTGATGATAATGGGAAACTGCAATTTGATGGGAAAACGACATAGTGGTTATGTGACTCGGATACGTAAAGTTATTTTGAGATTATAGGTGGACTAAAAGACTTGGGACATGTTCAAGTGAAGGAATTGTGGTACTCTTAAGGAGGTAGGTCAGTGCTGGAAGATAGGTCGAAACTTTTAACTGACGACAATGATGTTATGCATATGCTTAATATAGTCACATTAAATTATGTAGTGCATCTGTATATGGTATGTTAGAATCTATTTTATTTCTATCAAAATCATTGTTTTTTATTAGTTATATTATTTTCCTTATTTAAAATATTATAATTATTGTGAATAATAGGGATATCCTTGAATCATAGGGATCTGGTTGTCTAGAAGTTATTATTATGCTTCCTAAAATAGCTTCCTAGCCTTGTATATATGGATTGTATTCTCAACATAATAATATATGAGATTCTACCCTAAGTTGTGAGATAGCATTAGAGCTCTCAAATTCTGGGAGACGCCACCAAAACCCTAGACAACAGCCTTCATTGCTATCGCACACAAAACCCTAGACGACAACTTTCATTGTTGTCGTACATAAAACCCTAGACAGCCGCCTTCATTACTGTAGTTTTTTTTTCAGTGCAACTTTCATTGTTGTTGTGTTTCTTGCAGTACTGCTTTACAACTGTGTGGACATGGCAGACCAACATGCTGAAGTGGTAAATATTGGGTCACAAAGCAATCAGGAACAACTACAGAACCTCAACATTGTCTACCGATTGAATGGGAAGAATTATTTGAAATGGGCCCAGCTTGTTTTCATAACTTTGAAAGGAAAAGGGAAGGCTAACCACTTGACTAAAGATGCTCCAAAAGAAGAAGATCCCAAATTTACAAAATGAGATTAAGAGGATTCTATGATCATGGCATGGCTATGGGATTCCATGATCCCAGAAATCACTGATACTTGCATGTTTCTTAATTCTGCCAAGGAAATTTGGAATGCAATGGAGCAAACATACTCCAAAGTTAAAGATGCTACTCAAATATATTATGTGAAGGTGAAAACTGTTGCTGCAAAATAGGGCAACAAGACTATTACAGAGTATACCAATCAACTTAGATCCATGTGGATGGAATTAGACCATTACAGGGTGATCAAAGCCAAGTTCTGAGATGATTCTGCAATGCTCAAAGAGTATATTGAGCAAGAAAGAGTCTATGATTTTTTGGTGAGGCTAAACTCTGATTTTGATTAAGTGAGAGTCCAATTCCTTGGAAAAGAAAAAATTCCAGATATTA